GTCTCTACATACCAATAAAAAAAACCCTTTTTACTGATTATTTCTTTCTCCCCCCCAGCTCCAGTCTCGGTGGAGGTCCAGGTTAACGGGTCGGGCTACGCCTCGGACATTTTCAGGGACCTGGTGGCCTCCTTCAACGTTCTGCAGGGGGGAAACATCACGGTGTTCAGCAGGAAGTGCCTCCTGGAGCCGGCCGAGCCCGACTACAGCACCTGCTTCCTCCTGGGTACCACACACTGCTACGGTGGTCAAAAGTATCCATACTCAAATGTTGTATCCGGATACGATGCTCATTTTCAAAAGTATCGATACTAAAATGTTGTATCCGGATACGATACTCATTTTCAAAAGTATCGATACTCAAATGTTGTATCCGGATACGATACTCATTTTCAAAAGTATCGATACTCAAATGTTGTATCCGGATACGATACTCATTTTCAAAAGTGTCGATACTCAAATGTTGTATCCGGATACGATACTCATTTTAAAAAGTGTCGATACTACAAATGTATCCGGATACGATACTAATTTTCAAAAGTATCGATACTCAAATGTTGTATCCGGATACGATACTCATTTTCAAAAGTGTCGATACTCAAATGTTGTATCCGGATACGATGCTCATTTTCAAAAGTATCGATACTCAAATGTTGTATCCGGATACCATACTCATTTTCAAAAGTATCGATACCCCCCCCTTCTCTCTGATTTATTTATTTATTTACATTGTGTATGGTCATTAACGTGATGTTAGTCTTGAATTGCTGGCTGTGGCTAATGGCTAATAATAACACGCCAACATTAATCAAGTACATATCCAACTCCCCCACATCCAAGTCGGCCATTTTGATTAGGTCACCAATAGGAAGATCCCAGGCAAGAAAATCCTAATTGCTTCATGGCAATATAATTTAAAAATAGTGAAATGAATCTTGCAAACACTGAATTAAACACTATCCATGATATTATGTTAAAATGGTGGATGTTGAGGGAGCGTCTGGAGCTCTGTGGGAGCTCTGGGATGTTTTCCTCCTGGAGCTCTGACATTAATTAAAAAATGGTGAAATGAATCTTGCAAACACTGAATTAAACACTATCCATTATGTTATGTTAAAATAGTGGATGTTGAGGGAGCGTCTGGAGCTCTGTGGGAGCTCTGGGATGTTTTCCTCCTGGAGCTCTGACATTAATTCAAAAATAGTGAAATGAATCTTGCAAACAATGAATTAAACACTATCCATTATGTTAAAATGGTGGATGTTGAGGGAGCGTCTGGAGCTCTGGGATGTTTTCCTCCTGGAGCTCTGACTAGGAACCCCCTGAGCCCCAGATCTGACATTAATTTAAAAATAGTTAAATGAATCTTGCAAACACTGAATTAAACACTATCCATTATGTTAAAATGGTGGATGTTGAGGGAGCGTCTGGAGCTCTGATGGAGCTCTGGGATGTTTTCCTCCTGGAGCTCTGACATTAATTAAAAAATGGTGAAATGAATCTTGCAAACACTGAATTAAACACTATCCATGATATTATGTTAAAATGGTGGATGTTGAGGGAGCATCTGGAGCTCTGTGGGAGCTCTGGGATGTTTTCCTCCTGGAGCTCTGACATTAATTAAAAAATAGTGAAATGAATCTTGCAAACACTGAATTAAACACTATCCATGATATTATGTTAAAATGGTGGCTTTAAGGGAGCATCTGGAGCTCTGTGGTAGCTCTGGGATGTTTTCCCCCTGGAGCCTCCTGGACCCCCCTGAGCCCGGAGCTGAGCCCTGCCCTGTGCTGTGTTTTAGGCTTCCTGCTGGGCCTGGCCCTGCTGGTGTCTGTGGGCAGAGGCTTCGCGCAGCGCTGCCGACGGCTGATCTGCGCCGCCTACCACCCGGAGCGAGAGCTGGTACTGACCGAGGTCCAAACGGGCCGGTACTGACTAGGGGTGGGATGGTTCACAAAATCCACGATTCGGTTCGGTTCACGGTTTGGTGGTCACGGTTTTGGGTTCGGTTCGGTATGTGTTGATTGTTAGGAAAATCTATTCTGTCTTGTATAGTCAGGTTAAAACTGAAAGAAAAAAGCAGTCTAACATTTGATCCATTATTGTGACAGTCTGAGGTTAAAAGTAGGTGAGATTCTGCCAGAGAGGAAACAGAGCTAATTCCAACATGTGCTTCCCTCTAAATGCAAACTGGTCCATACAGCAGACCTAGAAACTGCTGCTGGCTCTGGTTTTTATGGGCTACGCTGCTTCTTCTTCTTCTGGTTTCCTACTGGTGGCTGGCTTTGGGCGCAGTAGCGCCCCCTTCTGCTCTGGAGTGTAAACGCTTCCCTCTGAGAAAAAGGAGCAGCAGGAACCGAACCAACACACGCCAACCCAACCCAGACAGAACCCAACGGTTCAGACGGTTTCAGAAACCGTCCCATCCCTAGTACTGACCGATCGCCCCGGGAGGTCCAAACGGGCCGGAAACCGCCGGGGGAAACCCAGATACCAGCAGAGAAATCTGTGGCTCCATCTCAGTGTCCAGGAGAGGCGGAGCCCAGATCTGAGGGCATCCGGGTTAGACAGGAAGAGCTCCTGCAGATCCGGATCTGGATCCAGTTCCAGTTCTGGAGCCCGGTCTGGTTTGGGAGCCCTGTCCGGATCTGGAGCCCGGTCTGGTTCTGGAACCCGGTCTGGTTCCGGATCCCGGTCTGGATCTGGAGGCGGTCTGGTTCCGGATCCCGGTCTGGTTCTGGATCCAGTTCCAGTTCTGGAGCCAGTTCCGGTTCTGGAGCCCGGTCTGGTTCTGAAACCCGGTCTGGTTCTGAAACCCGGTCTGGTTCTGGAGCCAGTTCTGGAGCCCGGTCCGGATCTGAAGCCAAGTCTGGTTCTGGAGCCAGTTCCGATTCTGGAGCCTATAGATGAGCTATGGATTAGCTATAAATGAGCTATGGATTAGCTAAAGATGAGCTATAAATGAGGTAGAGATGAGATATAGATTATCTATAGATGATCTGAAGATGAGCTAAAGATGTGCTATAGATTAGCTAAAATAAGATAAAGATGAGTTGAAGATGAGCTATAGATTAGCTAAAATGAGCTATGGATTAGCTATAGATTAGCTAAAGATGTGCTATAGATGAGCTAAAGATTAGCTATAGATGATCTGAAGATGAGTTATGGATTAGTTGAAGATGAGCTAAAGATGAGCTACAGATTAGCTATAGATGAGCTAAAGATGAGCTGAAGATGAGCTATAGATGTGCTAAAGATGAGTTATAGATGATCTATAGATTAGCTATAGATGAGCTGAAGATGAGGTGAAGATGTGGTATAGATGAGCTATAGATTTGCTATAGATGAGCTAAATGAGCTATAGATTAGCTAAAATGAGCTATAGATGAGCTAAAGATGAGCTATAGATGAGCTGTAGATGTGCTATAGATGAGCTATAGCACATAGGCTGCCATTGTTCATGTTAACAGGCAGCTATCGTTAATGCTAACAGGCTGCTATCGTTCAGGCTAACAGGCTGTTATCGTTCATGTTAACAGGCTGTTATCGTTCATGTTAACAGGCTGCTATCGTTCATGTTAACAGGCTGCTATCGTTAATGCTTACAGGTGGCTAATGTTCATGCGAACAAACTGCTAAAGTTCATGTTAACAGGCTGCCATTGTTCATGCTAACAGGCAGTAATCGTTCATGCTAACAGGCTGCTATCGTTCATGTTAACAGGCTGCCATTGTTCATGCTAACAGGCTGCTATCGTTCATGCTAACAGGCTGCTATCGTTCATGCTA